AGGGAAGCTGCTGACAGTGGTTTAGCTATTTAATGATATGATAAAAAAAAAACAACTCAGTTTCTTCCTTTCTTTCCATTCTGTCGTCCACAGTGTGCTGGAATTTTGTTCTGAATTTGCTGTCTCTTAATTAAATTACAAGGTGGCTGCCAGATCCTGACATCATACATTATACTTTCACTCAAAGACAGAATAAAAGGAAAAGAGCCAAGTGCATGCGTTTCTTTTAGAAAGAGGAAAAACTTTCCTAGAACTTCCATCCTTAACACCAGCAACTTTCTACTAGATCTGCCACATGGACAGACCTGAAAGAATGGCTAAGAAAGTGAATGTTTCATTTCTTCCAACCCTTTAGGGAACTGGGCCAGGGAGAGGGGGCTTAGTCTCTCCCACTTCTCCTTGTGACTTTCACATTTACATGATGAGTTTTCTATCATTTCTGGTTGTTCCTTTGCCTGCTCCAAACATCTGCTTCCAGAATGTCCCTATTTTTCCATTTTGTCTGATAGGTCCAGGCATGTAAACACAGAAACTTTGGTAACTTGGGATCTTCAAACACAGTGACAAATTTACTGATGGCTTCATAAATCAGAAAGTACAAAAGGACAGACAAAGCCCTTGAACAAGATAATATCAAAGACATTTCTTTTTGTCATGGTGATGGGAGGATCGGGGGACAGAGCACCACCCAATTACAACAGTGTGACCAACATTATCTTTTATCTTACTCTCTTTTTTTATTTACTTTAAGACATTAAGAGGACTCAGCTGTTAGAGAGATGACTCCTGATGCCGGAAACAATGAAGATTCAAGGACTAGTCTATAATCAGTGTCCCTTGAGTTTTTTCATTATTGACCCCCTAAGATCCTTTATAGATATTTTTTTCTAATTGCCTTTCCCATAAAATTTTAATAGACAAATATAATGACTATCTGTTCATGCACTATATGTTTATCTATATATTATATATAAAGAGTAAGATTTTTTTAACCCCTCCAACTGTGAACCAATTTTTGCTCCCTTGAGGATAATATAGTTTCCACTGAGAATGCATGTCTCTACCATAAACAATTTTTCTTGTCTGTGCTAGAGGTGAATGGAGGGAATTAAGGGAACCAAGTGAACAGGCTCTTGGAGGATCACAAGAACTTGACACGCAGAGACAGAAAGAAAAGACATTAGATGTGTGGGAATTCAGGATAAAGCTGAAGAGGTAGGAGACTTAGAAGTAACTTGGCTGGTGTCACAGGTTTAGATGGTTAATAAAGAGAAACCACCCTCAAAGATGCGGACACTCTCAGACTGCACACTCAGGGACCACAATGCCAGGCTCAAGCATAAACTGTGACAAATGGTGAATTCACTAAAGGCAAGGGAAACCATCAAGCAGTGGTGTTTTGGGTGATGATTTTCAATTTCACTGGTCTCCACACCTTGGGTTTTTCCTTCTCAAAATAGCTGCTTCCAAGTTAGAAAAAGAGGGAATGATCTTTAACAGTGCAGACAAGAATCTAAGTCCCTACTGGACAAGAACAGTTTAACCTGTAGGGATAAACAATGACTAGATACCTACTGAAGCGGCACTTGAAGACCTAGGAGTGTAGTAAAAAGTTACTGAGCCAGGCAAAGTCTGTATGAATTATCAAATGGTAACCTCTCCCCTGAGCTTCTTACTGCAAGGAAAACACCAGGAAGCTTAGACATGAATAAAAATTGCTTTGTGTTGTACTTTTTTCCCTAATGGTCATAATTAATTTTGTTGACACAAATACACAAGAGGTTAAAGAGGAACGGCACCATGTTGGTAAGAAGACCAACACATTTTTGCCTAATACACTAGAGAACTACGCCCAGGCCAACCACCCATGTGAAAGCAATCTTTCTAATCCCTCCAAGGTCAGTAAGACCTCCGTTAAAAACAAACTAAAAAGCTATCACATGAATGCAAATATACCAGGGTCACATTATGCATTTAATTTAACCAACATTTCAGACAAAATTATATAATAATAATAAATGTGACACTCATAAAGACCTCTTTCATTTGCTTCCTCTAGTATTATTCATCCCCCTTAGAATAACTCCCACTTTGAGAAACACACATACAGACACTGACGAGGGTAATTCCAAGAGGTGTGCATTACAAACAAAAGTGAAATCGGTCTTGGGAGGGGTCAATTAACACATTACAATTAAACAAATTCCCTTTGTCTTTGGAATATTAGATCAACAAGTCAAAAAAGAGGAAATCTAGGCAGTTTTTTCCCACTGAATTTATGACTCTTGCTGTTGCAAAGAAATTTAGAGATTATCCTGTGGTATTGATTAATCCTTTTTTTCTTTAGTGTGGGAAACAAATCTGTGTAAGAACTGTACTACTTAAAGCTCAGAGGCCTCCAACGCCTCCTTTCTGAACAGATGCAGGAAACCATGCAATGAGATGCAGTATCTTTTTACCCACTGGTCAGAATGCAAGACTTGTAAATAGGGGTACCAGTTAAAATGTCTTAAGTTTAAAAGGGGATTTCCTAAAGTAGATCCCAGATAAAGGATATTAGTGGGAAAACTGGTGAAATCCTAATCAGGTCTGTAGTTTAGTTAATATTAATGTAGCAAAGTTAAGGTCTTGCTTTGATAAATGCACTTTAGTCAGGTAAGGTGTGACCATTTCAGGGGGAAATGAATGAAAGGTATGTAGGAACCAACGTATTATCCTCAAAACTTTTTCTGTAAATCTAAAATTATGCCCACATAAAAAGTTTATCTTAAAAAATAGTCTCTCCATTTTACCAGTCCTAGAGAATCTCCTTAGTATTTCCCAGAAAGAATCATCTTTTCTGGTCACTCTAACACATCAGGAATTATTTTGTACTTTTTGTGCATAGAATCGTGTTAAGAACGTTTACTGCTTTCAGTTCTACAGATGGCACAGCAAGGTCGCTCTGCACTTAGAGTTGGAAATCCTGGATTTGGACGCATTCTGAGCTGCAAGAACCAGGGCACATCATTTCACCCCTTAGTAGCTCTCACTCTCCACTTTAAACGTTCTCAGGGCAAGAACCCTCCTGGGCTTATCTTTGTAGCTTCAGTAACACTTCCCAGAGGAAAAGGGGTCAAGAGACAGTTCCAGAGTCAAACTTAGTTTACCTGTCCAGCTCCTTCATTAAGCAGGCATGTTACTTTGGGGCAAAATGTTTAACATCTCTGAGTCTCCGCTTCCTCATTCATAAAATGAACTGTTGAGATGATTAAATGAAGTGATAAATGTAGCATGCCCAGCAGTGCCTGGTCCAAGCCAGATGGTTAGCCTGCCCCTTCTACACAACAGAGTCATTCCCCTGGAATTTTTTTATTTTTAATTTTGAAACACTCTTATAGCACTTATCATGTTCAAGACCCTCTTCTAAATGCTTTCCAAACAGTAACTCATTTTATTATCCTGACAACCTTATGAGGTAGGTATTATTTTTATTATTATCCTATTTTACAGATGAGGAAATGGAGATACAGAGAACTTAACTTACTTGCCAAGTTCATAAAGCTACTAAGTGGAAGGACCTGAGATTTGTACCCACACAGTTGGCTCCATGGTGTGCAGTCCTAAAATACGAAGCTCTCATAGAACATGTTCTACTATGGAGATGCTTAGGATCAGATACCGGCTGCCTCCTTCACTGCGGTAATCCTGACAGTGCCCAGCAGGGGCTCAAACACACGCTGGCAGACTGAATGAAGGCACAGCAGTCCTTCTAAAGACGTGAGCTGAGGTGAGTATTTTTCCATCTACCTCTCAGCATCCCCAGCGTGGTAGGAGAAGAGAACTAACGTTCACCAAGGCTCTCCTATGTTCGAGTCCACTGTGTTTCAAATGTTCGACTCTCATGCAAGTCTCAAAACCATCCTATAAGGTGCACCAGAATATTTCCTTTCTGCACTTGGAGAAATCAGAGTACACAGAGAGAGTACTTAACTCCCCAAAGTCGCATAACTAATCAGCAGTGCAGCCAGTATCAGAATCCCAAGAATCTTGCTTTCAAAGATGAGGCTTTTCCACTCTACTTGCAGCCTCCCACAGGAGATCATTACTGGGACTGTATTTCATCATAGAAGCGGCTCTTGCCTTCACTTGAGTCAGGTCTCTGCTTAGATACTATCTCAGAGCGACTTTCCCTGATCTCCCACATCTGCTGAACCCCATTCACTTGCTGCCCTGCTACTCTGTTTTCTTCTTCATTGTATTAGTATTTGACATCATATTACATTATTTATTTTCTGCCCCCAACCGAACAGGTAAGTTCTGAGAGGGCAGGGAATTGTCTGTCTTGGTCACGTCATATCCCAGGGCCTAGAGCCAGTACCTGATGCACAATAGGTACTCAAAAAAATATTGCTGGGTAAATATTTATGAGTAGACGTGTAGGAGATTCCAGTACTTGTTACTATCCTTATTATGATTAGTAGTATCTCCTTTTATTAATTACGTAAGTCAGTTAAGACAAAGTTTTACTTCAGAAGATAAAACTGATGGGAAATGGAGTGAAAAATGTTGTTTGCAATCAGATCAAAGCAGAAAATCCAAGCAATACCATTAACAACCAGGAGACCAGGCACTTGGGACAAGGATGCCCTCCAAGTACAGAGTGGCCGGCACCACCGAGTTACCAAACACAGCCCCCCGTTTTCGTTGCTTCTAAATCCTCACGGGCTCCAAAATAGCCCTCTGCTGCTGATCATAAATGTTCTTAATTCATCTCTCACTTTCCCACCAGGAAACAATCAGCCTTGGTTTATTTTTTTTTATCACTTTATTTACATAATCCCTGCAAGACGGAAGCATCGATTTTCCTAAGAGATGATGTTACTAGGATCAATAAACCACAGCGAACATGTATCAAAGGCCCATTTCTTCACCCCTCACCTGAGACACTGGGCTGCCGGCAGACAGCCTCTGCTGAAATCTACCCAGCGCCAGCGCTTCTGAAGGTGGGGGGAAGGCACCTCTGCTTATAAATTTTGAGGGAGCACAAGCACACTGATGACCCAGAGCACATGCCAGATAATGTGCAGCTAAGAACTCTGTGGGGAGTCTGGAAACCTACAGTCGTATTTGAAAGCTATCTTTAAATCCAGTCCACATGAGGGGCAGAGCACGTGGGAGAGGGAGCCAGGGGCAGGGGGCATGCTGAGGATTAGCTCCTCTGTTGGAAGCCTGTTCTGAGTAATAGGAGTAAATCAGAATAAACCATTCCTCAGCTGGGACTTACCTTCCATCTGCTTCCAGAAGCTTCTACTTCAGTCATGTCCAGCGTAGACAGTGAGAAGGAGGCAGGAAGCTCACTGCTTAATGGCAGAGCTCCTCGGGCCCACGAACAGGATCCTTGAACAACAAGCATGTGGTCTCCTTCCTGCTTGTCTCCATCCTCCAGTGCCACCCAGGACGCAGGCTTGCTGTCCTGAAGACACAGGCCACAGCAGTCCCTCCGGCTTCAAACACCTACAGGGTGTGTCCAAGGGGACAAAACAGACAGCACTGAGTCTAACTCTCTGGAAAAATCACGTAGGGACTGTCCTAAATGCACAGTCTGGGAGCACAGGCTATCCCCTCCCACCCGCGCTCCTAATCACTCCGCACACCTGCGGTTCCAACTTGAGCAGCTCAGTGGACTCAGCTGGAGAGCTCCTGGAAACTACAGACTCCACTGTTTCACCTCAGATCTACCGGTGAAAAGGTCATTAGGGAGGGTGGTCATTAGGGAAGAAGAATCCATGTTTTTAAATGCTCCTGAGGAGGGTTTAATAGGCCTCTTCAGCTAATGGACATCTGAGAACCATTTCTCCAAAATTCCAATGGTTCTCAAACATGGCTGCACATGATCTGAATTCTCTGAGAAACTTTTAAACGATATTGATGACTGTGTCTCACTCTAGATTAGGGTTTTTGTAGGGGGGCTGGGGAAACTGTTCCCCCAGCTCCTACCCAGTGATGGCCAAGCACTCTCCCTTTACAAGCAAAAATGTCTCCAGATGTTGCCAAATGTCTCCTGAGAGACAAAATCCCCTGGCCCTCCTCCCCTGGCAGTAGTAAAACAAAAGAAGGCAACATGGAGTGGAAACTCTGGGGCAGCCATAGGCTACTGTAGGGCATCGGAGAAGGACACAGTGGAAGTGACATTTGAGTATAACACTGGTGCTGTCACACTGCTGGTGACACAAAAATTGGTGTCGTCTCTTAGGAAGGTAATTTGTCAATGTATGTCAGGGGTTATATAAATGTTCATTTTATCCAATCATTTAACAAATATGAGACATCTCTGAAAATATGCCCCATCAATAGCACTGCTGGGACAGTATGCCAAGGAAATTTCCAAAACACTGAAATAACCTAATGCTGCAAAAACTTAAAAAAATTTTAATAAAACTATAAGCTACTGACTTGTCAACAAAAGGGGATAGTTGGATGAATTCTGACAAATCTACTAAAATGTGGAGAATGCTTACAATATCATGTAAAAAAAAAGCCATATAATATGTAGAATGCTTAAGATAAAATCCAAAGAAAAATAAACATATGTTACTAATGTATCCTTAAACAGTGATTGTATGTAAGAATAGACAGATAAGAAAGATGGAAAGAAAATTCAACAAAATAATAATCATTGTGCAGAAGATGACTTTTATTAGGGATTTTTTTTTCTGCTTTTCCAAGTTTTCTGATTCACTTTTCAAACAATTTTCTAAAATAATGCTTCAGACTTCTGATGCTGCCTTTTGCTCCAATTTTTAACCTATGCAATCCAAATCTGATTCCTCTCTTGAGGCTTATCCCAAATGCTATATGCAATCAGTCTCATCTGACTGCCTTGGCCCCAGTAATAATTCATTGCTTTCTGCCCACTGCTCCCCAAAAACATTTTTGCCTTCCTGTTATGGGCTAAATTTTATCCCTCCAAATTCCTATCTGGAAGTCCCCAACCTCCTAGGGCCTCAGAGTCTGACACTATTTGGAGACAGGGCCTTTAAAGAGGTGAGTGAGTTAAAAGGAAGCTGTTAGGGTAGGCCCTAATCCAATCAGAGTGATGTCCTTAAAAGAGGAGGAAATCTGGATGCACAGAGAGACACCAGGGATATAAGCACAGAGGAAAAGACCACATGAGGACACAGTGAGAAGGTGGCCATCTGCAATACAGAGAGAGAGGCTTCAGCAAAAAACCAGACCTGCCAGCACCTTAATCTTGGACTTCAACCTCCAGAACTGAGAAAGTAAATTTGTCTGTAGTATTTTGTTAGAGCAGCTCTAGCTGACTAATACCTTCTTATTGTAGTTCTAACGAGTTGCCATTAGTGATGTGCTTATCTTTCTCTTCCACTAGCTAATCTGCTGATTGGCAGAGGGCTCCGTCTTACTTGCCCTAAGAGCTAACTTCAGTGTCCTTTACAGTTCCAGGCACATACGAGTCATTCAGTAAATGTCAGCCAAAATGAATTTTCTGGACTTCTTTTTTCCTTAACCAATCTAGTGTCTACAGAATTTTAACAAGTAGTGTCAAAAAAAATGTGAGCTTCCAGTTATAAAATGATTAAGTTCTGGGGATCTAATGTACAGCATGGTGATTATAGTTAATAATACTGTATCATAAACTTCAAAGTTGCTAAGAGAGTAGATTGTAAATGTTCTAGTGCAAAAAAAATGTGAGCTTCCAGTTATAAAATGATTAAGTTCTGGGGATCTAATGTACAGCATGGTGATTATAGTTAATAATACTGTATCATAAACTTCAAAGTTGCTAAGAGAGTAGATTGTAAATGTTCTCAGCACAGAAAACAAAATGGCAATGATGTGAGGGATGTGATGGAGGTGTTGGCTAACATTATGGTAGTAATCATTTCACAATATATAAATGTATCAAATCAACATGTTGTACACCGTAAACTTATGCAAATTTTATATGTCAATTGTATTTCAAAAAGATGGAGAAAATTAAACAAGCAGAAAAACTAAGAAAAAAGTCAGCTTAAAGGGGAAACTGATATGTTGTAAAAACAGTAACAACAACAATCAGTTGGTAGAGATTCTCTATGAAATATTCACATGATTAGGAGTTATTTCCATTCCAAAATAAGTACAATGTTATGCTTCCAAAACTGGGCAGCTATGAGGTCCATTAACATCTTTGTAGTGAGTTTCAGGAGTATCAAATTCTCTTTCCAATGTCTATATTAGCACCAGAGATGCATTTTCAAAGGGATAATTTGGCAAATAATTTGCTCTAATTTTCATACACTGAAAACTCACTTTTGAATATGTTCTAAATTCTGACATAAACCTTCATATATTATGTACAACTTTATATTTTCCAAATATGTAGCTCAATTCAAATAACGGTCTTTCATCTCAGTATTTTAAACTATTTTAGATACTTGCATTTCAAAGTTTGGTCCATGAATCAAAAAAGCTTTATCATCACCCCACCTGGGAGTTTGTTAGAAATGCAGAATTTCAGACTCCACCTTGACCCACTAAATCACAATTTGTTTTTCAAGGAGATCTCCAGGTGACTGGTATGCTTATTAAAATTTGAGAAGCACTGCTCTAGAATATGAGCTCTCAAGATTAAATGACACGTTCAACCTTTCTATCTTCTATTTCTCTGAAGAGACTAAAGGATTAGAATTTTCCATAGTTAGAACCAGTGCTATTATAACATTCTTTATGGCCTTTGTTTCATATTTAGGCAAAGGTAAGGACAATCAGGCAGAGTCATTTTGAATTTAGGAAGTGTATCTAGTTTAGTCTTCCTGGATTTATCTGTAACTTGGAGAGTGTCCTAGATACGAGGATGGATGGTACAAAGAAATCCAGTGTCCTTTAAATAAATCACAAAGTCAATAAAGAAATAGGTGAGGGTACAAACAAAAAAACTCTTCAGAATCTTCCTGAAATGACTGAAAGCCAACCTAAATATGACAGTTCAATTTTAAAACAATAAGAAAGTCCTGAGTTTCAAGGGTAACAGTGACACGTAATTGCCGGAAGTCACTTTTCTTGAAACTGAGATCAGTCAAGTGTCTTTTAAAGACAGTTTTGTGCTCTAACAGTAATTGTAAATAAATATCCAAATGGTTATGAACAAACATCTCTATGTACATAAACACAAAATATTGGCTCCTCCTTTCCCCACCTCCAGGCCCTGATTTCACAGAAGAATTCACCTGTATTTATGGCTCATGAACAAACACAGTGGTAAAAATGCTTTGTGGGTCTAAACACATTTCTTCCCAGGGGCTCAAACTGCATGCTAGACATTATCTCATTAATAGCTCCCTTAAATCTTTCTCATTGATTTTTATATTTTTTGAACCAACAAGTGCACTATTGTTTGCATATGAAAGAGAGAGTTCACTTCAGCTAGAAATTGAGATCTTAAGCATTTTTATGACTGCGATGTTATATCTCAACTGACAAGGAGTTACTGGAGTGACTTCAGAAAAACAAAGTGACCTAACAATATCATTTATTTATTTATGGATGAGCTAGCCAGAAGTTCTAAGGATGTCTTGGGAGTATTGCATCACGAATGTAAATATTTGACTAACACACCTTGCCTGTATCAACCAGGAAAGATATGTCTGAAGATTAGAGCTGTGCAAATGTCTCATTTTGGAAAGAGAAAACAGAATGCTAGTCTACATTATTAAATAAGCTGCCTGACAAAATAGCGCAGTGATCACTAGGGGCCAGTAGGGATTAGCCAAGAACAAGGTCATTCCAAACTAAGCACATTCCTGATTTTGACATAATTACCAGTTTGATAAAAGGGGATGCACAGATGTCATAAAATTCAACTAATAATAATAACTGTTCTTCATTGAGCATTTCCCATGTGCTGAAAATGAAACAATGAGGAGCAATTTATAAACATCTTATTTAATCTTCTGAAACCTATGAGAAGTTATCATTACTGACAATTTATGTATAAGGGAGAGTAGTCCACAGTCACAGGACTCTTCTCAAAGATAATATTCCTATGGCTCACATGGTACTGTTTTCAGCAAACCCAATTGGCTTGGGAAATCATATGGTCAATTGTTCTCCATCTGAGTGATCTAACACTTTGTCCACAATTTGTTACAGTATTTCTGTTTGCAAGTAAAGATAGTCAAACAAAGGAGATGATAAGAGGAAGGTGTAACCACAAGTGAGATCCCACCACACACCAAATAGAATGGCTACTATCAAAGAAAAAACAGAGAACAACAAGTGTTGGCAAGGATGTAGAAAAGAGAACTCTTGCATGTTGCTGGTGGGAATGCAAAGCGGTGCAGCTACTATGGAGAACAGTGTGATGGTTCCTCAAAAAATCAAAAAAACAATTACCGTATGATCCAGAACATCTATTTCTGGCTTCACAGTCAAAAGAATTGAAAGTGGGCATCAACAAGACTGTGCACTTAAAAAATGATTAAGGTGGTATTTTATGATGATTTTATGTTATG